AGAACAAAGTGATCGTCGTGCATGTTCGGGGTCAGATGGGGTTTAGGGCATAGAGGCACCCTTGTCACTTGGTGTTTTATTAACACATTTGTAAGTCATTTGCTAAGTTAGTTTCATCAATGATCCTTTCACAAGTTCACCTACCGAAACCTTGTTACAACTTCTCTTTCTTTTAAATGATAAGATTTAATGGACTTCTCATGATGTCGTAGGCAACAAATCATCTATGTCATTATTATTCGAACACTTCACCAGATTATTCAATCGGTAGAAGCGATGGATGATGTGTATAAAAGGTAGGGATATAGTCAATGCTAGCTAATGACTCACACTTACTGGGAATTTCTTATTGAAGACCAAGAATTACAATGATCTATCCCCATCATAATGAAATTTCAAAGATTATCCTGACCTATCAGCCAAGGCTATAGACTCGTTGAATACATCAGTGTAGCACGTGTGTAGCCCAGAACATTTAAGGGTATCATAGGCTTGTTATTACTTCAAACTTCTTTGGCTTAAATAGCTATAGTCCCTTTAAGAAGCTAGCCATGAACGATCACCTCTGCATAGCTAGTTAGCAGGTTGAGATCTTGTTCAATAACGAAATTAACTAGATAAATCACTCCACCAACTTAGAACAGCCATGCGCAACCACCCATAAAATCAAAAATGAGCTCTTAGTCTATCAATCCTTACTATGTCTAGACCTAGTAAGTTTTCTTATGTTGAGTCAAATTAAACTATAGGCTCCACTTCTGGTGTTGCCTTTTCGTCAATTTCTTTAAGTTTTAGCCTTGTGACCATACTCCCCTCGAAACCTAAAAACTTTGATTTCTCATAAGGTGCCAGCGGAGTCCTAAAGGTAACATCCATTGATCCTTGGTTGGCATTGTTTATGGTTGAGTCTAGGATGGAATCTGATCATCTTCGAGCCTTTAACTTTCATTATTGATTAGTGAAAACATCCTTGGCAAATGCTTTTGTAGTTATTCATCTTTCATAAATCCAAGAATTTCACCTATGACTATGAAATAGAAATGCCCTTGACTATCCCTATTAATCATTACTCCAACCCTAAAAGCCAACAAAATAGGACTAAAATCCTATGATGTTATCCCATTTTAATGTATACAAGTGTAAGCCTACTTTGAGCACTCTAATTTCTTCAAAGTAATAATGCCGAAGAAATGACTTGGTTAGTTAAAGCCAGGAATGCATCACTGGTAGTAAGGATGAGTAGACCAGTGCTCACCATAAAGCAGATTGGATGACCCAACCCTAGTTTTAACTATGAGCTTTTTAACTACAATAACTTAAATATACATTATTGGAGCTAGAATTACCATGGCTGCTAGTACCATACTTGCCCTCTAATAGATTCTCATTAAGGGATTTAGGTTGTACTCATTCCAATTACTAGACTCATAAAGCTTGGTATTGTTATTTATTATCACTACCTTTCTATACAGGATTGGATAATTTGTGCGTCTATTGCCTTTCTTAGATGTTGTAGCCATTTCTTAAGGTCTTTCTTTGAAATCAAACCCTAATTCTCCACTACCTATCACCACCATAGTAGGCCACTATCTTACCATCAAAAATTGATAAGGCAGAAATTTGAATGATGCGTCACCGGCATAATGGTTGTATGATCCATCAAGTTATCATGAATCTTCAAAGCAATGGGCAAAGCCCGCATTGACCTTTTATCTAATAAATACATCCTTTCCAAAAGTTAGGGTTTATTGCATGTATTAGTTCTAGATTACTATAGTTATTTAAGTAATAGATACTATCAAACAAACTATAACTAATTTAATGAGCTAATCACAGTTTTACAATTTGAATTACTTCATACTTACACATGTATGGCTTAGTCTTTGATACAAGCATGTGACTACTGGTAGGATCAACCAGGTAGCATTCTTTCAGAATGTTGGCACTACATGGATCTTAATAAATGGACTAAACAGCAGGGAGAGCCAACATGAAGCATAAGCATTATGTATGTCGAACATGTAAAATGTATAGCATTAGATGAACAAGGGCTAAGGGCCAACACTCACAAAACATTTTACATCTAAGAGCACGATTGAACACCAATGCACCAATGCAACCATGGGGGTTTAGGTGGCACACTTGGGACATAGGGCATGATTAAGTTTCAACCCGTAGCCCCTAAAGACATAAGGTGGATGAGAATGGCAAGACATCTGGTTTTCATCAATTTAGGTATACAGCACAAGATCTCGATCTCACCCTCAAAGTATGATGACACAAGGGGAAAGATTGAAGAGAATGACAAGCCAATAGTTTGATGCATTAAGCATGGAACCTACCAATATGCACAACCATAGCACCTTTCATATGCCCATTACATATAAGTGGCAGCATCCATACACACTAGTTCACAAGCCACCTAATCGATTACTCAATGAGCGAGCAGAAGAAACGATGCATGAGGCCATGCCACAACCTCTTGGCATGGGAAAAGCACAAGTAATGGCCATGAGACTACCCCTGCTATCTAATAGGCAACAACAGCACAACACCATCAATGCTTGGTTTAGCTAAGATCACATACGCAAACTTTGCTATCACCACCTTAAGGGGATGTTACCTGATTCAGGAACTTGTTTCTAGGGTCTTAGGCAACATCGATTGCATGCACGGGCTTGGCAAGGCTAAGGCATTTTTGAGGTCGATGAAAAGGAACCACGAGACTACCAAATACACAAGAGACTTGGCTAGACCAAGCCTATGACTGCAACTTCTAATTGTATCACCTAAGAGAGCCATTGCCCAATTCAAAGACTTGGTCTTGGGGTATGAGGTAGCATCAGATGCACGCACTGGCTTGAGCTCAACCTTTTCTAAGTGCTCGCCAATCGATCAAGGCCATGGGCTCTTATGGGTCACTGAAGCAACTAGTCTCTGAACAACATGGCCAGAAAGCATGTATGACCTAGATTTTATCGTAAAGATATTACTGTGGATGTACGCAATGAGAAGCCCATCATGTACACCTACTCCATCCATAAGGGAGAGAAGGAACGCTTAGACAACCACCCCTTAAAAGGTATAAGAGATTTTATAGATATACTAACAGTAGACATCAAAGTATCTGAAATAGGGATACTTTTTTAAAATTGGCATATCCTGCACCAAGGTTTTGTGAATACCGCTGGTGGTCGAGGCATGTGTGCACACCAAAACCTAACATATGTCAATGGCATTCAAACTAAATGCCCACTACAAGGGTCAACATGTGCCGATGGTGTTTGAAGTAATTGCTTGCTTAAAGGGTGATGCCAAAGTGTCAACACATCTTACATTTAGGCTGAGACTAAGGTAGACTTATCCAAAAATAAGATAGACCTATCCTTGGTCCAAACCCACTAAACAAATGCAAAAATAAGGTAGGTTGGAATAGTTAGATAGTGTTTACACTCATTGGAAAAGAAGAGTTGAAAGATGGATAGAATTGTGGTCAAATTCATTATCATGTAATTTACAATAGTAAATGGGCAGATTATGTTTATATACAAATCTCATGATTTTAGGCATGATTCTAGCAATTCAATCTTTGAAGTTTCTATGCTTAGAGGGATGTTCCTAGCCTATTTATTTTTTGTTATTCTTTAGTAGAAGGCATAATAGAGTTTTTTTATCCTTTAGCAATCTTTTAGATTGTTCTTTAAGTTTTGTATCTCTTAGGTGAATTTCTTAGAGTGGTGAACTTCATTGTTCTGTATTTTTAATTAGAATTCTTATGGTGGTGTTTCTGTATCCCTTAGTATCTAGTCTTGTTGGTGAACTTCTATCTCTTTTAATCTAATAATCGTATTTTACTATTATTCAAATTTTTATGAGTTATCTTTTTTGTAAGTTTTTCTATTTGCTATTAATCCCCAATATTTTAACCATCAATTCATAGCATCAAATTGGTATCAAAGCTATGGTAGGTCATTGTTGTCAAGCACTAAAAGAAAAGGTTAAAGCCAACATCGATATTGCACAACTACCAATGTTGACCCAAGGGATGCCTCATAGAAGAGATGCAGTAATAAATCTTTTAACTACAACTAAAGCTACATATACAAGAAAAAAGAGAGGAGATAAATATGCAAGGAAGGAGGAATGACAAAGATGAAGGAAAAACCAATCTATACCATGGAAACAACAGTGATTCTGATGATAGCACCCCACCTTACCCATGACAAGTGAGAGACTATCTATATAGAAACAAACTTCAACATAGCATATTCAATTCAAAGATAGAGATTCCTGAGTTCAAATGAAAGATACAACTTGAAGAGTTTTTAGATTGGCTACAAATAATAGAGTATATCTTTGAATACCATGATGCCTCTTAATATCACAAGGTAAAGCTAGTGGCCATCAAAATAAGAAAGCATACATCCTTTTAGTGGGAAAATTTGAAGAAGCAAAAAGAAAGTGTAGGCAAGAGAAAAAATTACAACTTGAGAGAAGATAAAAAAAAAAGAGTTAAAAAGGAAGTATCTCCCATATAACTTCCATCAAGACATCTCTTTTAGGCTACATAACTTGAAATAAAGAGATCTTTCAATGAATAAGTATACGACTGAGTTTGACCACCTCATGATGAAGTGTGAATTAATGGAATAAGAGGAACAGACTATTGCATGGCATCTTAGAGGATTAAAAATCGAGATAGCTAATAGGTGCAGCTATAACCTTATTGGACTTTCAATTATGTTTGCAAGCTTGCCTTTAAGGTTGAGAGACGACAAAAGGAGGCCCATGATAGCAACTTGAGATTTGGGTCCTGAAAATTCTATATCAATAAAGATGGCTCAGCCAAGATTATTGTTCTTTCCAAGCCCATTCCAAAGCAACACCAAAAGAAAAATAAAACCTTAAAAAGTAAGCCTCAGTCTAGTACACAAACCAAAAGGTGTTTTAAGTGTCAAGATCTTAGACATATTGCCTTAGAATGCCTAAACAAAAAGATTATGACTTTAGTAGAGGAAGACTTAGAGGAAAATGAAAAAGAGCTAGTTGAAGAGAATCAAAACCTTAAAGAAGAGGCAAAAGTAACTTACGACGTTTATAAAGCATCCTTAATCACATAATATAGCTTAAGTATCGCACCAGTTAAGAAGAAGATTAGTTGCATAAAAATATAATCCACACTTAGTGTACTGCACATGGAAAGGTATGTGATGTTATAATTGATAGTGAAAGTTTTGAAAACGTTGTTTTTACTTTTAAACTGTAGAAATTAGGCCTCAAAAAATGGATCACCTCTAACCATAAAAGCTATCTTAGCTATAAAAAAAGAATAAAATCAAGGTTGACAAGAGGTGTTTGATACCTTTTTCCATAAGAAAGTAATACAATGATGAAGTGTGGTGTGATGTAGCTACGATGGATGCTTACCATTTATTGTTCGAAAGACCTTGACATTATGATAAGAGGGTTATCTATGATGGTTACCACAATACTTACACATTTGTAAATGATGGATGCAAAATCATCTTAAGCCCTACCAAGCCCATAATGATGTCAAAATCAACCAAAACGGAAGAGAGTGGCTTGTTTACCAAGCCCAATTACAAAAAAAAAAAATTAAGATGGGTAGTACTATGTATGCATTAGTGCTAATTAAGAAAAATGGAATAGTGAGGAGCCTCATATAGTCATAAAACCATTGTTGGCAAAATTTTAAGATGTTTAAGAAAAGTTACTAGTTGGTCTACCACCGATGAGGGATATTTAACACTACATAGACCTTATCCCAAGATCTATTCTACCCAACAAGGTAACCTATAGGATAAGTCCTAAAGAGTATGCAGAGTTGTAATGCCAAGTTGATGAATTAGTGAGAAAAAGAATGATGCGTGAAAACATAATCCTTTGTGCAATCCTAACCCTTTTGATGCCTAAGAAAGATAGATCATGGCACATATGTATAGATACTAAGGTGGTCAATGAAATCACAACTAACTATCGCTTTCTTATTTTGTACTTAGATGACTTGCTAGACCAACTACATGGAACAACTATTTTTTCCAAGATAGACCGATGCAGTGGTTATCATCAAATCAGAATAAAGCCTGAAGATGAATGGAAATAACCATCAAGACAATGGATGGTCTTTATGAATAAATGGTAATGCTTTTTGGTTTATCCAATACTCCTAGTACTTTCATGAGATTTATGAGTTATATCTTTAAACCTTGTATTGGCAAATATGTAGTAGTATATTTTGATGATATTTTGGTGTATAGCAAAGATGATGACCAACACTTGAATCATTTACACCAATTGTTTTGCATATTGAGGGAATAAAAGCTTTATGGTAACCTTAAAAAGTGTAATTTCTTTACTTTCAACCTTGTGTTTCTAAGGTTTGTGGTGCTAAAAGAATGAATAATGACGGATCCTAGCAAGGTTGAGATAATTTTAAATTAGCCAACACCAGCATCTCTGCATGATATTCAAAGCTTTCATGGTTTTACATCTTTTTATAAGCGCTTCATTAGGAGTTTTAGCTCCATTGTGGCTCCCATCACTGAATGTTTAAAGAATGAAGCTTTTAACTGGACCAAAAATGCCCAACACAGCTTTGAGCTCGTCAAGACCAGGATCGCTAAAGCTCTTATCTTGTTCTTACCAAATTTTGATCAAGTGTTCAAGGTAGAATGCGATGCATCCAATTCTAGAATAAGTGTTGTTTTAAGTTAAGGAGGAAATCCTATAGCATTTTTTAGTGATGAGCTTAATAAAGCTAAGAGAAAGTATTTAAACTATGACAAGGAGTTCTATGCCATATATGGAGCTTTATTCCATTGGAGTCAGTATCTCTTTACCAAGTCATTTATTTTATACTCAGGCCATGAGGCCTTAAAGTTTATCAATAGCCAGCATAAGCTTAACCGAAGGCATGTAGCTTGGATAGAGTTCTTTCAAGCCTACAACTTCACTATCAATCACAAATCAAGAGCTTAAAATATGGTGGTAGATGCTTTGAGTTGAAAGCACTCCTTATTGGGAACTATGGTTGTTGAAGTTACTAGATTTGATGTGATCAAAGGGCTTTATAAGGCAGACCCTTACTTTGGCTGAATTTAGGAAGAATGTAAGCAAGGACCACACAACCAATTTTTATTGCATGATGGATATCTCTTCAAGGCTAATAGCCTTTCCATTCCCTCATGTTCTTTAAAGATAGGCCTTAATCAATGAGGCTTATTATAGTGCATTAGGTGGATACTTTGGAATGGACAAGACACTTATTTTTTTGTAAGATACGTTTCATTGGCCAAGAATGGAGAGGGATGTGATGAAACACCTTGAATGATGTAAAGTGTGTCACATTGCCAAAAGTCATGGTCAAAACATTGAATTGTATACTTCGTTGCCCATGCCTGATGCTTATTGGGAGGATTTTAGTTTAGCCTTCGTAGTTAGACTACTTAAAACTCAAAGGAACAAAGATGCCATCATGATGGTTGTGGATCATTTTTCCAAGCTGGCCTATTTCATTCGTTGTACCAAAATTATAGATGCTTATCATGTTTCTTATCTGTATTTTAGGGAAATTATAAGGTTATATGGAGTTCCTAGATTCATGATGTCTAATCAAGATTCCAAGTTTCTTAGTCATTTTTTATGCATACTTTAGAGGAAGCTTGGTACCAATCCCAAGTATAGTTCTTATCATCATCCTCAAATAGATGGTCAAACAAAAGTAACCAACTACAGCTTGAGCAACCTTTTAAGAAGTTATGTGGGAAAGAATATCGAGCAATGGGTTCTTATTTTACCTTAAGTAAAGTTTGCCTATAATCGTTCACTAAGCCAAACTACTAGTTGTAGCCCTTTTGAGGTAGTGTATGGTAAAAATCCAATCAACCTTTTAGAATAGTTTCTCTTCTTGCCAATCAACAATTTAGTGGATATATAAAAAAATATGGCTAAGGGTATCAAACAATTGCATGAACAAGAAAGAGCTAAGATTCTATAGCAAAATGAATGCCAAAAGCAAGACATGTCCTGATGGTGGTCGAGGCATGTGCATGTGTCACAGTCCGCATGCTAGTCTAAGCTTAGAGGTTCTTTTCAAGTCAATGAGCAATTTCAGTTCTAAAGAGATGCGGTTCGATAGCCAAGGAAACCAAGCCTTGATGCCTATTAGAGGTCCAAGTCATAGGGAACTAACCTAAAATAGTGGTATTGGTAGTGATCAAGACTCTATAGGCTCAGGCACGATGTTTTAGTTTAGTAAAATTGAGCTAGCCCTAGGTGCAAGCGCTCGTGAGCGCTTATATGAATTTACAAGCCACAAAAATGACATTAACATAGCAGAAATATGAAGATGTGCCTGAACCCATCTATTGCCCCAATCGTGGTATGTCTCGATGATGGTTAAGGCATATGCATGTGTCATGGTCCACTTGCTATTCTAGGACTAAAGGTTTTTTCAAGTCAAGAAGCAGTTTCAGTTCTAAAGGGATAGGGTCTAACAGCTAGGGAGACTAAGCCTTGAGGCCTACGAAAGGCCTAGGTCATGGGAAACTAGCCTAAAACAATGGTAATGGCAATGATGAAGACTTAAAAGGTTTAGGCACAATGTTTAGGTTTAGCATAATTGAGCCAGCCCCAAGTATGGGCACCAAGGAACACTTATATGAATTTTTAAGCCATAAAAATGGCATTGAAATGGCAAAAATATCAAGATATGCCTGAACCCACCTACTACCCAGTCGTGGTGTGCATAGTGTGCGACTCGGGCCCATAATACCTTTGCATAGTGCACGACCTAGCATGTATCGATGGTCTTCAAAGGAATTGCCCACATTAAAGGCCAACATGTGCCGATGGTAGTCAAAGCATGTGTTGATGGTGGTCAAAGCATATGCTAAGACCAAGGGCTAACCTATCTCAATAGTGGTTAAAGCATGTGCATGTATCATGGTTCGCATACTGGTCTAGATCTAGGGGTTCTCTCTAGTCAAAGAGCAATTTTGGTTTTAGCAAAACAAGGTCTAACAACCATAAGGACCAAGTCTTAAGGTTTACTGAAGGCTTAAGTGTTAAGGAACTAGCTTAGAATAATGGTATAGGCAGTGATCAAGTCTCCAGAGGCTCAGATATGGTGTTCAAGTTTGACATAATTAAGCTAAGCCTAGGTGCGGGTGTTGGTGAGCACTTATATTAATTTACAAGCCATAAAAATACCACTGGTACGATAGAAATATGAAGATGTGCCTAAACCCACCTGTAATAGGGATGAGTAGATCGGTGCTTACCGTGAGACGGATCGAATGACCTAACCTTAGTTCTAACTACCAGCTTTTTAATTACAATAACTAAAATATATGCTATTGGAGCTAGAATTACCATGGTTGTTGGCACTAGACTTGCCCTCCAATGGATCTCATTAAGGAATTTAGATTGTACTCATTCTAATTACCATACTTATAAAGCCCAATATTATTTTTTATTGTCACTACCTCTCTGTGTCAGGATTGGGTAATTTACATGCCTGTTGCCTTCCTTGGATGTGATAGCCATTTCTTAAGCTCTCTCTCCAGAATTGAACCTTAATTCCTTACCACTTATCACCACCATAATAGGCCATTATCCTACCATTGAAAGTTGATAGGGTAGAAATTTGAATGATGCATCTCCAGCATAAAGGCCATGTAATTTGTCGAGTTATCATGAACCATCAAAGCAATGAGCAAAACTCATGTCAATATTTTATCTAATAAATGCATCCCTTTCAAAAGTTAGGGTTTGCTACACGTAATAGCTCTAGAATTAATGCGGTTATCCAAATAGTATATACTATCAAACAAACTATGACTAATTTAATGAGCCATTCTCAAATTCACAATTTGAATTAGTTAATACTTACACATGCATGGCTTAATTTTTTAGACAAGCATATGACTATTGGTAGGATCAACCAGGTAGCATTTCTTCGAGATGTTGGCACTGTATAGTCCTCAACGCACCAACTAAACAATAGAGAAAGCCAACACAGAGCACAAGCATCATGCATGTTAAACACATAAAATGCATAGCATCGGACGAATAAGGGCCGAGGGCTCACGCTCACAAAATGTTTTGCAGTCGAAAGCATAATTGAACACTAGTGCACCAATGTTGCCATGGGGGTTTGGGTGGCACACTTGAGACACGAGGCATGATTGAGGTTTAACCTGCAGCCCTTAAAAACACAAGGTGGATGAAGGATGGCAAGACATCCGATTTTCATTGATTTAGGTATGGAGCATGGGATCCTGATTGCACCCTAAAGGTACAATGACCATATGAAGAGAGATTAAAGAGGATGATAGGTCGACAGTTTGATGCATTGAGCATAGAACTTGCCAATACATACAACCATAGCACCATTCATATACCCATTATGTACAAGTGGCACCATCCATGCACACTTGTCCATAACCCACCCAATTGATTACTCAATGAGCGAGCGAAAAAAATGACACATGAGGCCATGACACAATCGCTTAGCATAAAAAAACATAAGCAAGGGCCAAATGACTACCCCTGCCATCCAATAGGCAACAACGACATAACACCACCAATGCTTGGTCTAGCTAGGATCGCACACTCAAACTCTACTATCACTACCACAAGGGGACTTTACCTGATTTAAGGACTTGTTCCTAGGGTCTTGGGTAATATTGGTTGCATACATAGGCTTGGCCAGGCTAAGACATTTTTAGGATTAATGAGAAAGTACCATGAGACTACCAAATACCCAAGAAACTTGGCCAAACCAAGCTCGCGACCATAGCTTCTACTTGTACCACCCCAAGGAGCTATTGCTCGATTCAAGGACTTGGTTTTGGGGTATAGGGTAGCATCAGCCATAGGCACAAGCTTGAGATTGGTCTTTTTTGAATGCACACCAATCGATTGAGGTTATACGCTTTATAGGTCACTAGAGTAATAAGTCTCAAACAACATGGCCAAAATGCAAGCACATGCTAGATTTTTCCCCAAGGATGTTACCATGGATGTACATAATGAAAGGCCCATCACATATACATACTCCCCCCATAGGGAGAAGAAGAGGTGCCTAGATAACCACACCTT